TCAGGCCAAAACAGCATTAAATGCTGCTTGGGGGGGGGGGGCCTGCCTGCCAGCCGCCCCTCTCCCCCACCTCCTGCAAGGGAGAGGGGCAAAATTACCGCTTGGAGATCAGGGTAAGTGTCCCCCCTCCCCCCCTCCGCTAGAGAAACAGCATTTAAAGCATTTCCTTTAAATGCTGTTTTTCTAGTGGGGCAGCTGCAAGATTTAAAGGGCCCCCCAGCTGGTGGGCGGGGCCACGTGCTCCTGCCAGTCAGCCAGAGGGCCCTTTTAATGCCACAGGAGGGGAGGGGGGGAGAGGGGCAGCCGCGTTTCTGGGGTGTGCCTTTCGTTTGAGGGGGCGGAGCCCCGGAATGCCCCCACCATGCCTACGGGCCAGCACTGGTCTGATCCAGCAGGGCTCCTCTGATGTTCTCGTGTATGTTCTTAGACGTCTGCCTCCCATCTTGAGAGCTCTTCCTGCCTCTGGTCTCTCACTTTGCATCCTCCGTGCTGTTTTCCTTTCTCACACCTGATGCTTCGTGAGCCCCAGCAGTTGCATAGGTCTTGCTTTCCCTGCATCCAGGCGTGCAGGTAGGGAACCTGGCTGTTCAGTGTTGAGCTGTTAGTTTGCCAGATGTTTCCCCCATTCATTTGTGTTTGGGTTATAGAGGAGGGTGCATTTCCTTGGAGTCAGGCTGCGTGCAGAGAGCTGGGCAGGGGAGGGATGCATCAGACAGGAGGCAGATGGGAGCAATACATCCTGAAGGGGGAAAGTAGTCCTTTTGAAGAACTGAACCTCTCACAAAGGCCCCGGCTTGTTGACCCATCAAGGCAGAGCTGGCTGATCTCAAGAAGTAGGTGCATTTAGGATTCGTTTTAATTTTTGTTCCAAAAAAATTTAAGCTGTTTGTTTAATGATATGTATTAATCATACAGGTAGCTATAAATTGGCAGCTCAGTTTGCAAAAGGGAAAAAAGTCATTTAAAAACGTCGAAGAAACCCTCAGGTGCATCGTTACTGGTGGCTGTTGTGGTGGGTTTCCTCCCTGGCCCAGTGCACCAACACGCGAATGTCTGTCCTCTGCTGCGATCAGATGCACTTTGGTATCATGGCCACAAAACGGTGCTTTCCACAGTATTCGTCTCCTCTTGTTTTTAAATCATTATTTTTGGAACCT